TTTTCTTTTCTTTTCTTTTCTTTTCTTTTCTTTTCTTTTCTTTTCTTTTCTTTTTTTTTTAATCTTTTTTTATTTTTACGTTTATCTTTTCACAAGCCAAATTGAGAAAGGATGCTAACTCCTCACCGCGACTACAGAGAAAATGCAGCGCGACATGGACACATTGACACCGCTCGACGCTCGAAACTCGCTCCTTCTAGACCGAAAAGATCCGGAGTTGGGACCCAACGGTGAGACGACCTTCTCGATGGCCTCGACGGTGGAGAAGAGACAATCGATCAAGGCTCGGTCGGCTACTCCCGACGTGTACGACAAGGCAGCGGCGGCCACGTACAACAGCTACCGCCACAAGAACAGCACCAGCAACGGGAGCAACGGATCTTACCGAGCGCTCACCACACAGGGCGCACCGATGTATGGCCACCAGCGCGACCAGAGCCGGGAAAACCTCGTCTCCGGGGCGGCGCCCGTGGGTCAAGATCTTGAACGACAGCCGACTTTGCCCAACGTTGGGAGCGGCGGCTGGGATTCTTCGTACGACAATGGCGGGGCCGGATATTCCGGCTACAGGCAATACCGTGGGTTTTAAAGCGCCGAATGTATTGAGGCGTTGTGACTAGGAGACGTTCCGGACTTTGTGTGTAATAGGGGGGTGGATATGTTGCGGACATCCAAGATGGGGATGCGGTTGGTCGTTGCCTCTTTTTCATGCCACCCGGGGCCGTGGGTGTAGCGGAGAGAGGGCGCGGATGTTGAAGAAGCCGTAGTACCTTAGTTACTGACTCCTTGAATCTGTGTGTACATTCTGTACTTGTTTTCTGCATTTTGCATTTCGCTTCTTGTGTCACACAGCGTCCATCCTTTTGGGTTTATTTCAACCACCCTCCGGTTTTATATGTTAGATCTTTTTCTGTTGATTTGGGCAGGGGAGGTGACACGAGAGTGAAGATGAAGAATATGAAATGGGAGGTCTGCCGTGTGAGTGCTGTATATTATTCGCTCCTCTTGAGTTTTCACATATACTCCGTACCAGTTAGTGAGGTATAAATCACCTGAGAATACTGTTGAAAGGAGGCAAGTGGTAAGTGAGGGGCAAGTTCTCGGGTGGATCCTCACGCTTATCCACCAGAGCCCAGTGACAACTGCCGCCAGCTACGTAATCAAAACAAAATACACTGTGACGAGGTACGACTTTGCATGTGTGATATAGTACCGGTACCAATTTGTCACAGTGTTGACAAATTCCGTCCGAACCGTATACGACGTATCGTGCGTTTCTTATCTTATCTTCAGGAGAGCAGTGGAAAGGTGATCGACACGACCAACAACTCCATCAACGACGGCGTTTTCGAGGAACAGACTTGAAGGCAACTTTTCAAGGCTGATACAACAACGTGCTTCCACTTCTGTTATAAATTTTCTCTCTCATCCCGCCATTCCTTCAACTATTATTTCCGGCGGATGGGCGTATTCAACTCATCTATCGAGGCAAGGGACGTGAAGCCCAGATACAGACAGACACAGACACAGACGCACACGCACACGCAGACGCACACGAATCAACCATGAGCGACCTCCAACGAGCATGGGCGAAACGTAAACTCGACACCATGCCCGAGCCTCTCTCCCTCGCCGAGGAAGAACCCGCCGAAGAGGAGACGGATTTTGTCCCTGACCTGCCCGAGCACCTTGACGACGGAGACTCCTCATCAGCCTCATCGGCCTCGTCCGCCTCTTCCACCGGCACCGTCATCCCTTCACCTAGTCAGAGACTTTTTGCGAGACCTCAAGGGTATGTTTGAACGTCTTATCTTCATCTCGTCGTGCCATGATGGAGACGTAAATCTTCATCCCGGCCATGAAAAAGACAGATGCGCTGACTGACACCTTATCTTCTTCCTTCTCCCCCCTACCCACTAGGATACCGAACAGGGGTGCTCGCAGCTGGGAACCCATACCCTGGACAACTTATTTCGAGAGGGAACTTTTCCTCGAGCAGGATCTCAACGGCGATGCCTCCTCCTCTTCTCCATCACCACCAGTATCGTTCCCGTCGTCCTCGTCCTATCGCATCACCCATCACGTTTACCTCACCTCACCCTCATCTCAAGGCGGTCCTCTCTTCGTCACTCATCACGGCGCAGGCTCCTCCGGCCTCTCCTTCGCCCTAGTTTCGGCCGAGATCCGCCGTCTACTCCCCAACGCCGGCATCCTGTCCCTCGACGCACGCGGCCACGGCTCCACCACCGTCACCTCATCTCCTTCTACCCCTGAACCACCGCCCCTGGACCTCTCCCTCGAAACCCTCACCCAAGACCTCTACAACGCCATCCTCCTCACCAAACGCCAAATGCGCTGGTCCCAGATCCCCCCGCTCGTCCTGGTCGGCCACTCCCTGGGCGGCGCCGTCGTCACCTCCCTCGCCCTGAACCCGCGCTCCCTGGCCCCGCACATCCTGGGCCACGCCGTCCTCGACGTCGTCGAGGGTTCCGCCATGGACGCCCTCCAGAGCATGCACGCCTACCTCTCCACCCGCCCCACCGCCTTCCCCTCCGTCGAATCCGCCATCGAATGGCACGTCCGCTCCCGCACCCTCCGCAACTCCCTCTCCGCCAGGACCTCCGTCCCTTCCCTCCTCGTCCCGGACAACAAGAACCAGGACGTCGCAGTCGTCCGAGCCGATCCCGAACCCAACCCCACTTCTTCCACCTCCACCCCAGCTCCCCCTTCGTCCACCGCCTCGTCCCCGTCGTCATCATCATCATCATCATCGTCGTCGTCGTCTACCGGGAACCAACGCCGCCCCTGGCACTGGCGAACCGACCTCGCCGCCACCCAACCCTTCTGGGAGGGCTGGTTCGCCGGCCTGAGCCGCAAGTTCCTCTCCGCCCGCGGCGGCAAGCTGCTCCTCCTGGCCGGCACCGACCGCCTCGACACCGAGCTCACCATCGGCCAGATGCAGGGCAAGTACGCGCTGCAGGTCTTCCCCGACGCCGGCCACTTTCTGCACGAGGACCTCCCCGAGAAGACCGCCGTGTCGCTCGTCGACTTCTTTCGCCGGAACGACCGGAGCGCCCTCGTCCTGCCGCCGAAAGTGTCTGATCTTCTCAAGCAGGGGAAGAAGGTCTGAGTTCAGTTCTGATAAAACTCTGGCGTGGGATATATATTTATAAAGGGGGTTTTTTCTTTTTTTTCTTCTTCTTTTTTTCTTTCTTTCTTCTGCGGTATCATGTGTCATGTGTAGGTACAGGCGTCTAGAGACAGATAAGAGAGAGAAAGAAGAAAGGGAAAATTCCAATGCCTGATCCCTCCCCATCACAGAAACCTTTCAAAAGTCATAACCGCTGCCTCCCTCTTCAGGACGGTCCGGTTTCCCGTGGTCCTGGTCTCCAAACCGATCCCACCGCCTCGGCAATCAGGCAAATTCTTTTGCGAGCGAGCGAGAGAAGAGACAAGATCTTCTAGTGTTATAGTGGTTTTTTTGTCTTCTCTATACCACCACGATGCCACATCGATAGCATGTACTCTGTGTTCAGCGTGTCATAACGTTTGGGGAGAGTTCAACGTCTCCATAGCCGGCGCAGGTTACGCAGCCTGGCAAGACACCAGTGAGCTCCATGGATAAACCCCTTTTTTTGCGCCTTATTCCTCCCGAAATGAAAACCCCTTGGCAGGCGCCGGTTGTCTCTGACAATTTTTAGGGACATGTTGTCATTACTGTCCCTTCCTTTTTTGTCTGATTTTCTTCCTTTTTTGCTGGTACCCACATCTCCTCTTCGCAGCTCTCTACCCGGTACCGGACTCGGTCGAGGATCGTAGGGATTTTCTTTTTCTAGCACATCTTATACGTGCAAGTACCGGTAGCAGCACGCTTGGGATCGGGGCACTGGAGATTGTAGTCGATGGCAATATCGAGATCGCGGCGGTTCTTATCGCTGGGCTTGACACGGAGGGTCAGGCCGACCGACTCGCCCTGCTGGACGGTGAGGACGTCCTGGAGGTAGAAGACGGTCTGCTTCCAGTGCGTCCACTTGGTATGAGGGCCGGTCGAGAACCGGACGGTCTTGTGGGCGGCGGTGAACTCAATGTCGAACCAGCCGACAATGGCGTGGATGAAGTCGTCGCGGCGGACGGTGAGATTGATCTCCGACTTGAAAGCCAGGTCGGATACCTGGCACTTGTAGAGGTCGAGGGTCAAGGCCAGTGCCGGCTCGGTCACTACCGCCTGCACGTCGACGGTGTCGACGAGAGGTTCCCTCAGGGCGACCTCCTTGAGGGGTGTGTAATTGAAACCGTACACGCTGTTCCAGTCTTTGATCGGAGGGTTTGATTAGTTCAATAATCTCTGCCACTTTCTTTTCCTCTCTCTCTCTCTCTCTCTCTTTTTTTTTTTTTTTTTTTTTACCACAATAGGAGAACAAAAGCCAAAACACTCACATCCTATCTTGTCATCCTTGTAGTCTCCATCCTCGATACCCGCAAGATAGATGGTAGCCCTGTCGGGGAAGATCAGTCCGTCCTTGGCGAGGTAGCGGTCTCGCGCATAGAGTACGGTGTCGAGCATGCTCTCGTAGAGCAGGAAATAGCCCATCCATTCCGAAATGATGATGTCGACTTCGGGGTAGGGCAGCTCGACTTCCTCCATCTTCCCCTGGATGAGGGTGATCTTGTCTGCCATGCCGTTGACGGCCACGATTTCGCGGGCCTTGAAGATCATCGTGGACATGTCGACGCCGATGACGTGTTTCGCGCCAGCCTTGACCGCAAACCTGTAATCAATCCATGTTGTGATTAGTCGTCTCTATCTCTACAAGTGCTGACGAGAGAGAGAGAGAGAGAGAGAGAGGGCAGTAGCAGGGTTGGCCAGAAGGGAGAAGAAGAAAAGTGGAGGCAGGTCAGGAGAAAGAAAGAAAAAATGGGAGAAACAACGTACATGGCAAGGATTGCTGTGCCACAGCCAACATCAAGAACGACCTTGTCCTTGAAAATGTGCTTGTTTTGAACAATAGCATTCATGTACGACTTGGTGCGGACCTCATCTTTCTGAAAGAGAAACGCATGTGAGCAAAGACTGTCTTGCGCTCCTCTCCCACTGCAGTAATAGGAAATTTCCCATTCGGGAAGGAGGGGTAGCAAGCAAAAAAAGGGGAGGGAGGGGTGGCAGGCTATCGGTCGTGCCTCGAACGTACAAGCATTTCCTCGTGGATTCCTGTACAATGCGTCCACTAATGTTAGCCGTCCGAAGAGGAGAAAGTAATCACCACAGAAGGGCGAGCCAGGGGGCCAGGTTCAGAGGTGGGCGGCGCAGGGTCAAAGCCCCGGCAGTCCGAATGGCGATCAACATACCGTGGTGGTCATAGCTGTAAAACAGGTCCCGGCATCGTCAGCGTCTCTCGCTTTTCTTCTTGCGCAGAAAACACTAGACAGAAAAAGCGCGCAAAGGGGATACGAACCTTTTAAAGTAGTGTTGCTCCGAGTGCTCCATGTTCTTGAGCTTGGCCTCAGCCGCGTCGATCTCCATGTTTTTGCCAGCCATGGCGAGAGAAGGTAGGGATGGTAGAGGGAACGGGATAAACAATGGTCGACTGCAGAGTTGGACCCTACTTATATGTATACAAGTGTTTGGAGAAGAAAAGTAGAAGAAATAATAAGCTATGTGCTCATTGCTTGTTGGTTGTTGCGCGCAAGAAATGTAAGGAGAAGAGAATCTTCGGACCTCAACGCTATCGGGCAATAAAGAAAAAAATTGGGTACCTTTTTTTCACCGCCTACATGTCGTAGGTACAACGTACTGCGTTACGGAGTTATTCCCTGTAGGTAGGTACTTTGTACCCCAGACCCTTCTTTCCTCGTAATCTTATCAGATGGGGTGGGTCAGCATAGGTAGTGGGGCCTCCTCACCTCGTTCACCTTGACCGATGTCACCGAGGCTCACCGAGTTTTCATCGGATCAGCCCTTCGGAACGTCCAACGTCGCTTGTTCTTTTCTCCTTGTCTCTGTTACGAATACCTCCATTGCTTCTCCCCACAAACGTAGATATAATGCCTGAATCTACTACTACTACTACTACTACGGAATACGAGACTATCCTTCAAGACCAGAGGGGATATTTTTCACCGCTGCCGAGCAAGAAGGGGTTCCACTTGTAACGATACACACAATTCAGAATGTCCTCCTCCTCTGTCTTGTTATACCTATCTACGAGTACTCCCATATTCAGTGTATCGTTGCTGTTTGGATCATAACTCTCCATCTCTAATCTTCTTGGCTAGTCAATGCTCATGGGCTCTGGTTCCTCGTCCCCGCCAATAGACGAGAAGTCCGGGAGCCCCCCTGTTTCGGGACGTCCATCGTATGCACCTATATCCCAGTCCAACAACATCCTGATTTTGGAGTGAAGATGCTCGTACGTTTGCTCCGTACCGGGAACTGCCGCCCTCATGAACAACTCGAAGATGCGATGTTTGCCCAGCATGTAAAGTAGCACGAGGCGGGTTTCTGTCAGTAAACCCAGCCACTGGCGGTGCGGATCGGGTTGGGTATAAACAATGAGTTGGTCACCGTCGTAGGACAGGTCACACCGGGCCCCCTCAAACTGACTAGCCACGTGGTTGTTCGTATCGCTATCTAGGTCTAGCACAAGCTTGAAGCGCGACGGGTCGGCCAGGAAGTCGTTGATCAAGGTGCACTTGTCGCAGCAGGAGAGGGTCAGGGGTTGGCAGGACCAGTCGTCGCGGGGCTCGGGGTGGTGGATGGATCGACTCAGGAACTCGTCAACGAAGGACTGGTAGAGCTCTGCGTAGCGTGAGACGTGTTCTTCGTCGGGGCGATCCGTCTCGCTCAACCTGGTAGCCAGGCTGTCTAGCAGCCGGAACCAGAAGCTGAAGAGGTTCCACGTGCTCACACGATGCGCATCTCTTGCAAGTTTCTTCAGAAAGCGAGTATGTTCGGGACACCCAACATCGTGGGCCCCAGACCGAACCAAGGGACCGGCGACCGCGGTGGCTGCCGCGTCCAGAGGGCACCCTGGGTCCTTAGGTGCCATCATCACTCCCTCGGAATTGGACACCTCATCCGCCGCGTTGAGATCAGTCGGGTCGGCCCCAAACGCTAACATGGTGTAAGGCTCAGACGAGTGGGCTCTACAGCCTGCCACATCGAAATGGTCCAGGCACCGAGTTTCGAGCCCCTCAAGAGCCCAGGCCATTTCACTCTCGTCCCCCGTAGTCGGATAAACAACAGCGAAGGCGGCGAGGAATCCAAGAACAAAGGCGCATCGATGTCGGTTGGCCTCGAGAAGGCTTTGTACGCTGGGGAAAAAGGATTAGGTACATTGTTTGCGGCAGAAAAGAGGATGACAGGGATGAGGAATAACCCACATGGTCTTCCATGACGTCCTCCAGTCACTCCCTTCTGGCCTAATCCTCATCAACATAAAGAGACCATAACCTGCACTGCAGTTGCAAGCGAATTTCCGAGGCGCTGCCTTGAGATGCCCCATACAGGTATGACAGAGCTCAAGAGCAAAATCATAACAGCGCCTATCCCCTGCGTGGGCCAGCCACAGAATTACGTTTGAGCTGGCATGGAGATTACCAAAGGTCTCCAACATTTTTATCAAGCTTTATTGCTTTCCAGGTCAGCTAGGCTCGCTCACATAATACCAAACGAGACCAGGAAGAAGTCACGACGCGAGGCTTACCCGGCCTGCACTTGGGCGTTCATCCAACGGCGCTGAGCCAAGAGAAGAGCTTCCGATAGGAACTGAAGATGCTCGTGGGTGAACCATTCCACGAGATCCGTGTCTTCAATTGTGGCCCTGGTGAATATATCGTCTCGAGATATGAGGTTTTCGTAGAATACGCCGCGCCATTCGAGAAGTAGTGCTGCTAAGAGGGCCGCCAGCTTCGTACCCGCTGGACGCTCACGCTGCCCCAGCGTGAGCACGGCGACCCAAGCACGAGCCCGGGTGTCACTTCGCCAAAAGTCGACTGCTTGCATGTGTTCATCCAACCATAGCCTGTGACAGAGCTTAATGGTTCGCCCGAGAGAATCGCTGCGCCAGTGGTTAGATCTCGGCCCTACCAAGGTCTCCCAAAGCGTATTCCATGTCGTCTCGAAATGAGGCTCGCGGAGGGGCAGGGCTCGCTCCAATTCAAGCGTGTATTCCTCGGGTACCAATACCACAGCCTACAATAGAGTCAGCTCGGATCCGAGGAGGCGGGGAGCATGGCGTAAGGGAACTGACAAGGTCCGGGATAAAATCCACCTTCCCGCCATGTGTGTCATTTATCGCATTTGTCGGCCGAGTAGGCCTTTGATTCAAGAGGTCGACAAACAAGTCGAAGGAATCCGAGGACAGGTCCTTGACGCCCATGACGTCTAATTGTACGAAATACTTGAAAAGGCTTACGAACCTCAGGAACGGTCTGCTTTGCGGATCGGGCTTAGGCCAAAGTTTGGTGCTGGCGACATAAACGGCGAATTCGGTGTCTCGAGCCGCCTGTCCCAGGTGGAAGAGGAACGGGACATCCCAGTGGTCCAGGGGCCCGTCTTCTCTTCTACGGCGACTTTCACCACGGGCGCGTTCAAACAGGTATGAGATGCAGCACATGCTCCATCCTGCATCAGGGGTAGGTTCAGCCATCTAAGCCTTAAGCAGCCCGACCAGTCTAGCCTGGAGAATGCTTGGGGGCTCCAAAGGTCCAGGTTGGGGGCTCAAAGTTGGCCAAACCTCGGAGACATAACGGAGGGGAGTGGCGACAAGTCGAAGACGCAGAATGGTCTCGAATAGATCTTCCCGAAGCTGGTGATATGCCTCAACCTGTGCCGGGTCCGTGTAGGGGCATGTTTCTATGTTTGTATACCGGAAACAGGCTGGAGGTCCCTCAGTTTCGTCACCCATCACAGTTTCGTCAGCCATCTCGCCGTTCTCGCGCTGATTTGTTCTTTTTGTCGAATGGGAGAATAGAATAAAATGAACTCCTGGAGAAAAAGAGCACACAGAATATCGATGGGCTAGCTTTGGAGTGGTAGTAATTCAATTTTGTCACAGTGATATAGTGGACGAGGATGTTTGTGAGAGAAGAAGGCGGAATCATGGAGCAGATCAGGGAGCAAGGGACTGATATTTGCCAGACAGACGGTTAACGACTTAAGGTAAAGTACCTACCTTAAGTACTTTCCTTCCAGGGTTTCAGTGCTTGAAAAGGTTCTCAGGCCAAGTCAGGGGTAAGGTAGCGGACAGGGAAATGGCAGACAAGGCAGGAGCAACCCCCGATTAGTTTCTATAAGGCACCTAACCTACCTTACCTTACACCGAAGGAAGAAAGCCTCGCGGACAGGCGTAATTACTTCGTACTTGCTTTGATGGCATATGAACTCCAAAAAACCCCTCTTAAACTGGTAGGGGGCCATGTACACCCCAAAAGTCCATATCACCTTCCCCTTAAAAGTCAGCCAAGTCGGCTGTCCAAGATTCCATCAGTTTCCGCCCACTCTCAATTGATAAGGTACGCATTCATGCCATGCAATGTCCATACCTACCTAGGTACGCCACCAGCGTCCCTCGTCACTAAGGTACCTATCGTCATGCTTCCTGTTTTCCGTTCCTTGCGTGTCAGGAGCTCTCTGCTCGTCTACATCACGAACAAAATGTTGGTGTCTAGATAGTAATATATTTCTGTTAGTGACCAGGGCTGATTCACTCCGCGTGGATGTGTTGTTGAAGAATCGACAGAAAGAAACCTACCTATGGGGTGACTGCTCGAGAGCTGCGGCAATTGGGAGTAGTCGCCCTCGGACAGAAGGTCTCTGATGCTGTTGAGAAGTTCGACGTAGCTCTGCTGTGGATTGTCCCGGAGCGCGGTGACGAAGGCGTGCGACATGGCGCCTGTGGCCTTGTCCGCGATAGTGGCATCCGCCCTGTTCCTGTTGTCAGATGACTTGAACTTTGTGAAACAAGAGAAGGCACCAAGGGAGGACAGAGGGGATGCGCCAGGGAGGGGGTTGAACGAACGATGTCTGATCATCCTTGCTGCCGGACCACATAATGACGTCGGCGGGAGAAGTCCTCGTGGCTTTGGTGTACTCATACGCCTTGTCGCCCTTGAGTGCCTTCTTGCCGAAATCTAGGATCGAGGACATGACTCGAGTCATATCTCCGGTAGCATAGGCCGTGACGGCGCTAAGGAGACCCTCGCCCGCTTCTTTGGCCAAGTTGGGCTCCTTCAGGACACCCTTGGTCGAGTAGACGTAGGGCAAGTCAAGGGCAGTTCCCGAGTGGCAAGAGTCGAAGATGGCCGTTAGGCGAACACCCGGCTGCAGGGGTTGGACCATGATAGCGTGCATCTCGTCATCCACGATATGGCCGGCTTCCTTAAAATCGACGGGGTAGATGACTTCGTCCAAGCCGTCTTCCTCGTCGCCGTCCTCGTCCTCGGTATACCCACCATGACCTAGGAATCGTTTAGCAAAAGAAAAGGGGGGAGTAAAGTAGTAAAAGGAAAAAAAAAAAAAGGAAAAGGAAAAGGAAAAGGAAAAGGAAAAGGAAAAGGAAAAGGAAAAGGAAAAGGAAAAGGAAAAGGTGAGGGAAGAAAAAAATAGTGATGATGGGTACGCACCAGAGAAATGGAAAAACAACGAGTCGTTAGGTCGAGCGCCCTGGACGAGCCAGTGCATGGCACGCAGTATGTTGTGTCGCGTGGGTTGGCCGACAGGATTTTGCTGATCATCGGTCAGAATAACCATGTCCTCCTTCTTGTAGCCATACTTCTCCGTAAGGAAGGCCGAGATGTTCTTAACATCATTCAGACAGCCGCGGAGCTCGCCATCCTGGCCGAAATAGTTGACGCCAATGAGCAACGCCTTTCTTTTGCCGGTACAAGCAGAGTATTGAAAGCCGTAGCTCTCAGGGGCGCCGTGGCCAAACTGCTGGAAGCCCGAGGGTGGCGGGGGAGGCGCATTCCTGTTTCCATGTGTCCACGAGTTCGAGTGGGCGGTGGGCATATCTTTGAAAAGAAGAAAGGGGGAAAAAAAAAAGAGTTAGTCCGACGGGCAACCCAAGACGTTCCCTCTGGGAGGGAACATGTCGAGGAAGGTCAGGGGAGAATACGTACGTGGCCTGCCATGATTTCCGCGGTTGATGGGGTAGCCGTATACATCGAGGCCGACGGGAGGAGGATAGTCGGGAGGATCGTACTGACGCGTATAGGCGCGATCGGGATGGGGGTCAGGGGGTGCTTGATTGTAACCGTAGCTCCGTTCACGCGGAGTTTCCGGCTGGGGTCGGTATCGATGGGATGAAGGAGGAGGCCCGGGGGGCGCTTCGTAGTCGGCCTCGGGGGGCGGCCGATAGTCATCGTCACCATGATACCTTGGACGAGGAGGGGGAGGGGGTCCGTCAGGAGATTCATATTCGTCCGGTCGAGGGCCCGGAGGGGCGTATCCACCGTAGCCTCCGTAGCCGCGTTGACCAGGGGGCGGCCCGGGAGGAGGCTGGTGGCCTCCGTAGCCTCCGCCGTAACCCCCACCATTGTAGGAGCCATACCCTCCGCCGCCGCCGTAGCCGTTGCCTGGATAACCGTAGGACATGGCAGTAACCGTAGGCAGATGCTCTGACTTGAAAAGCTAAGCTTATGTGTCTATGGTGGCCAAGGACGCAGAGATAGGAAGTTGAGAGAAGCTGCAAGGCGGTGAAGTCAGCCAAACGCAGCTACGGGAGGTTAGGTAGGCAAAGTACGGAAGTGGTAATCGGTAGTAGCTTACCCTGGTAGCTGTGAGATGAGGTGCCGAGACGACGACTGGCCAGGGAAGAAATATGGGAGCAACGGTGCCTCTCCCTAGGTACCTTATGAGGAATAAGCAAGGACAGTCTCGGCCTGCGTCAGATGGATCCCTGAGGTAGGCAGGTAAAGTAGATGGAGTTGGTGCAGAGGGGCAGCGACAGGAGCAAGGGTGCGAGGTATGGTCCTTGAAGGCAGGGCGGAGTCAGTGGCTTCTTCTTAGAGAAAGGGGTGGAAGGAGGAGACAGGGAAGCCGGAGAGCCCTGGTTTAGTCACGAAAGTTATAGCTTCAGCTAATTCCAGACGTAACGGGGCAAGGGAAAAGAGTAACAGAATGTGGTGGAGAGAAGAAAAAGGCTCGTGGACGGCAAAGGTGAGGCACGTTGACAAGATAGACCTTTCACCTGCCTGGGCACCTAAGGTGGGTTACTCCAGTCTGCAGCATTTGGTGTGAACAGGGCTGTTTTGCTGATGGTGGGGTGCAGGCTGGAGGGGCAGAAAGCTGGATGGAGGAGGGGCAGGTACCGCATGCCGCAGGGGACACTGTAACAACTTCTAAAAATAGTAACAACGCATCACTAGGTATACGCCGATGGTAGCATTAGTATC